ATAATTTTGTATTATATTATCATACACTCATACACATATGTAAGTATATAGAATGAGAAGTTAGGGAAGTCTCCTTGGGACATTATAAAATTCATGTGGATAAATTCATAATAAAAATACTGTGTTTATTAAATTTAAAAAGTAAATTTGTCCAATTTATTGATGCTTATTCCTGCCTCATTTTATTTATTTTTGCCATGATAGCTCCAGAACTACTCATATTGAGGTATAATTCACATACTTAGAGTTCATAATATGCTTAATATGTTTACAAATTTGTGCAGCTATCACCATCTTTACTTTGAGAATATTTTCATTTCCCTTTCTTAAAATACCAAGGAGCAGTCCCTTTATAGAGTAATCTATATTTGTATTTAGTATGAAATCAGGAAATGTGAGTGTTTTAATTTTGTTCTTCTTTTGCAAGATTGTTTTGACTGTTCAATGTCCCTTATATTTCCATATGTATATTAAGATCAGTTTATCAGTATCTGGGGAAAAAACAGCTGTGATTTTCATAGGGATTACTTTATCTGTGAATCTTTTTCGATTGGATTACTTTCTTAATAACATGAAGACTTCCAATCCATAAATATGGGATATCTTTCAATTCATGTAACTCTTCTTTAATTTCTTAAAGTGGTATTCTGTAGTGTTTTGAGGTATAAATTTGAAATTTTGCCATTCTTTTACAAAATTTATCCCTAAGTACTCTATTTTTATATTGTGGGTTACTTATCATGTTGTATGCATAAGAACTTATTATTTACAATTGGAGATAGTTTTACTTCTTCATTTGCAATTTGAATGCTCTTTCTCTTCCTATCTATCTATCTTTCTGTCTATCTAGTTACACTGGGTACGATCTTCAATATAACATTAAATAGAAAGGCAAATGTGGACAGTCTTGCCTTGTTCTTGGTTTGGGGCAAAAAGTATTCCTTTTTCAAAACTAAATATGATGGGGTTTTAGTTCTCATTTTTCAAGTTTAGGAAGATTATTTCTATTACATGTCTGTTGAGTATTTTATCATTAAACAATACTGGATTTTTCCAATAAACCTGTAGCTTAACCATGTCAAGTTATTGATTTATTGTAATGAAGGAGATTCTACAAAGGGAAAAAAAGATGAATCATAAAGATAGAAAAAGGAAGAAAGAAACAGGAAAGATGGTTTTGATTTGCATTTCTCTGACTGCTAGTGATGTTGAACATTTTTTAAATAAGAGTTACTAGAGGTTTTTAGGGATGGGTAGAGTTTAGACAAAATTTAAGTAAATCAGTTTTTTGTTAGGCTTAAAGCAACCACATACAAAAAGCTCAACAGCAGTTCTAGATTGTTAAATAGATCCAGGATCCTATTTCTTTGGGAAAAAAATTAAGTTAAGAAATATGTGGAATATGGCAGTCATAAAATTCTTATTTTAAGATTTGTACTTGAATTAGAAAGTAAGGTTACTACTCTGTGTTTTAGTGACATATACTTCAAAAAAATTGGGATGCTTTATACTAGCTATAATAATTTCCCACAGCTATCTCTAATACTCCATTATTTCATAGAACAAGACAGTAGGGCACATTCAAGAAGTGGGTCATTATGACCCCTTACAGTTGTAGCATATTCTTAAGTAAATATTATTTCTTGTTAACTTTACAGCTGGATTTGTCTGTGATGATTAGCTTAGCCAGATGAATAGCAGTGTTTTGTACATGGAGCTCCCCACCAGTGATATCCTTGTTGCTTTTCCCATTCCGTAAACTTTGCTCTTGCTTTAGAACATGGTGTAGACAAGGGAACTATGGTCCCCTCTTCAGTGGCAATGAAACGTACTTGTGCTCTCTGAGAAATGAAACTCTTTGGGTCACTATTAAACTAGTGGCTGGTTGCTGTCTGCAAAGCTATTTGGATCAAATTCCCCTCTATTGCTGTGGAATACAGGAAGTAATGGTATAGGATGGTTCTGCATAATTTGCCTAACTAGTATTTTTTTTTTTTTTTAAAGAACTGGCCTCCTTTCTTACTTTTACAAGACTATATCAGAACCTCACTCATGCTGAGCCAAACCTTCCTTGCTTAAGGATGTAGAATGTGTAGGGACTTTTTTTTTTTTTTGCGCTAAGTACTTGGGGTGTGGACATGGTATTTTCACATTTCACATTTCCAATATATTTGAGGTGAAAAGTATGGAGCKGCTGAAATAGCACTGTTATTTTCTTAATTATGCTTATTTTACATCCTTGAGTTCCAAGGATGTTTAACTCTGTATTGATTTACTCTGCTCAGATCTGGCCGACTGGATAGTTATTTTATTTTAACTATATAATTGTCTTCCAGGATCAATACCTCAAAATTATTTTTTCTTGCTGTTCAAATGATTCGGGAACCTCATTTTTAAACACTTACATGTGTGTGCATGCACACACACATGCAGACACACACCACACACACACATACACACACACACACACATACCTACCACAGTTGTTAAATCATCATAAAATGTAGAAAAATGTTTTATGTTGTAACAACTAAAATATTTTTCATGATTTGAGAATGTATATATCTTTAATTGTCTTTTCTGTTAGTAACATAATTTTCATAACAAACTATAATTTTTTTTGGTCGGGGGAATGAACCCAGGAACACTAAGCTACATACCCATTCTATTTTTTTTTTTTCATTTTGGGACAGTCTCATTAAATTGCTGATGCTGGCCTCAAACTTGTGATCCTCCTGCCTCAGTCTCCCAAGTCACTAGGATTACAAGTGTGAGCACCACATACAGTATTAAATATCTTTTTGAGAAAGAAATCCATTTCTAAATTACTATAAAATATAACACCAGATTATGTTTAAATATTCTGTTAGTATGTCATCTGTGACAAAAATAACATCAAAGAGACGGTATCAGGACAATGAGACAGATGTAATTTAGTAGCCCTGGATTTATGTCAGTCATAAGAAAGCAGCATCTGTTTGTGATACTGAATGGCTTCTTCCTGGCTGGCAGGATAGTGTCCAGGAAGATCTGTCAAGTCACTAGAAGGGAATAGTACAGAATAAGGATGGATTGATTCTTATTTTCTTGGATTTTTCCAGACATGTGTTATTTCTCATTCTCTTTGTGAATCATGAAGACATATAGTACCAAAAACAATGCCAATAGAGTTATTATATTTTATGATGAAATGAAATTGCAAAAATGCAGTTTTATTTAATTGCTGAAAGACTTTTAACCATTATCAACATCCCACCTACTTACCCCCAAAAGGGCATCGTACGAAACACATAAAATCAACTTAACCAATTTATCAATTTTATCATGATTTTATAATTTCTCTTCCATCATCTTTGACCTAAGTTTCCATACTAATCATGTCCATCAATACCTTAAAAACTACTCTGTTCACTGTTTGAGAGAAGGGTACTCAGGGCAAGTTGTTTGTTATACAATCCCCCCACAGTAGGCAAGTTAAGTTTATTGGATCACTTGTTTAGTTCAAACTCTGTATAGATTGAAATTTAGGAATAAGTCTCTAAAACCCATCCCCAAAGACTGGTTATCATGAACATAAGCATTTGGAAGTAGAAGAACCTGGTGTCCAAAAATTGCTTTAACACTATAAAACCTGCCTTAACACTACAACCTTTAGTTTCCTCCTTGGGAAAAGAGGAATAATGAAACAAACTCCACAGATGAGATTTATACATAAAATAGCATTATGTATGCAGAATAGTTTGTGAAATTCTTAGCAGATAGACAGCACCCACTAACTTGTGGCTATTAATTTTATTGATATTGGATATTCTGTGGTGCATGTATAAAGAAAACAAGTGACAAAATGTAATCATATGAAGAAAAATCTGGTTTAAAAGTTTTAATTATTGTTTGGCACTCTAGCAAAATTCTATTGACCTTCCCAAATTAAATATTTATATACCATAAGTCTGAAAACAATCATTTTTATGTACTTTTTTTAAAAAGAAGAGCTAAATAGTTCCTCTCAGAATTTCCTTTAAGGAAAAATCATAGAAATCTCTGTAATAATGTTAATTTTTAACATGTATGCTTAAGGCACACACACACTGTTATTAATTAAATATTAAGAATAATAACTGAAGAAAATAGGTAACATGAAGGAAAATTGTAATCCTTTGATTATACTTAAAGATGTGCTCAAAACACATCAACAAAAATTATAATAGCTACTGTACATTATCCTAGTGATTGTAAATAGAGTTTTATGAAATAATTACTCTTGTTTTTCACCCTGCCACTTTTTGTATATGAGGATCTATGTACTGCCATTTATCTTTTTCTGAAAATATATAAAGCATGCTTCTGTGGCAATTAATTTCATATTGTATTMTTTTTATATCACATTTGTAGAAGAGAATCAAAGAATTTCCACATTAACTTAGTAAAACATTGCCTACCATCTTTGATAGTTTTAAATATGAAATTGAATTTGCTTTTTTGATACTGTTATTATAATTTCAATGTGTCTGTTTTTCTTGATATCTCCAAATCTATAGTTATTAATAGAAAATCCATAATGATTGTACCTAAATTGTATTGCTGACATATGATTTTTCAAAAGCATTTGTAAGTGTTGCATACTGGATATTTTCTGAAAATTAAGATTAACATGTTAAAAAGGGAGAAAATCACTGATTTCCTACATTTAAAAAAAAACAAACATCAATTTGATTGTGGCTTCTTTAATAGGAAGACTAAATTTTTAATGACATGGATTTGCAGAACTGCTCCCATGACAAATTTGTCTGTTCGGAGCTATATTTTGGTCTGTATAATCAACTCTGAATTGTATGCATCACAATTGTTATTATTTTTTTATTTTGGAGGGTTGTAGAGGAATGATTGATTAAATAACAGATACATATAAAACATATTGATTCCTTTTTTCTCGCTGAAATATATGTTTTTTTTTTTTTGTTTATAAATAAAAATATAAATTTATTCTTTGCCCCCATCAGATGTAGGTTCTGTGGAAGGACTTGCCTATCACAGAGCCTGGGATACACTGTACTGGACCAGCTCCACTACCTCATCCATCACTAGGCACACAGTGGACCAAACCCGGCCTGGAGCTTTTGACAGAGAAGCGGTCATCACCATGTCAGAGGATGACCACCCACATGTGCTGGCCTTGGACGAATGTCAAAAGTAAGAAAGAGGTCCTTTTATTTTTGCACTGTAATTATAAGTCAGAAGAATGTCAGATCTATGTTAACTTTAAAAAAAGATTAACTTCAAGATTAAATGTATCCTTTGAAGCTTTCTTCATAATTCATAAAAATTTCTTTAATGACAGTCTTATAAGTATGAATAATTAAAATATCAGGTGGTCTCTCCAAGAAAGATCCAGTAAAAGCAAATTTAAATGATGAAAAGAAAACAGAAAGAGACAATACTATGCTGGAAAATGTAGCATGAAGCAGATCTTTATTCAGAGCTGATTGAAATTATAAATTTAAAACAAAGCTATTAATATATATCAACACACAAAAGAGGGTTTTTTTCACTTTAATGAAGTAAAAGAGGTTTTTTTTTTTTTCACTTCAATGAAGTAAATTTAAGAATAGGACATCTTCAATTGAAACACAAAGAAAAACAGTAAAAAGGAAAACAAACTTTGTGAACAGATATGTTTTCAACATTAGGTAAACAGTAAAGTAGTTTATATCTGTTGGCTGATATATTGAGCAGACATTTAACATAAGATTTTTGAGAAATTTACAACATTAAATGTACCTTAATGAGTGAATAGGATAAAGCAAAGTAGAACAAAAAGAGAATTTGAGGGCAGATGTCATAAAGGAAACAATCATATAGAAAACTGAAGCACAAAGCACAGTTTAGGCAGAACAATAATACACATTAATGGTATTTTATTCTCAACAATGTAGCAAGTTTTTTTTTTTTAAGTTGTAGATGAACACAATACCTTTATTTTATTTATTTTTAAGTGATGCTGAGGATTGAACCCATTGTCTCATACATGCTATAGGCAAGCGCTCTATCACTGAGCTACAGCCCCGGCCCCTCAAGATTGTATCTTAAATAGAAAATCCTTTTTTTTTTTTCCAATGAAATAAATAAGCAAAGCTCTGACCAGTCCAGCATTAACTAAGCAGAAATAGAAGAGTCCTTTTAGACATGGTGAAGAAGAATTGAAGAATAAAAAGCAATGACATATAACAGCTGACCTGACCTCTTGTCAGAAGAAAGGACTAGATAAATTACTCAGTGTGAAATAATTATAAATCTGGGCTGGAAGTAAAATTAGATTTAATTCACTTAATTGAACACCAACTTATACATAAAACTCTGAAGCTGAGGGGCAAATAGACTCCTCAGGCATCTTTGATGACTTAGTTCAGATGAACACAGGCCTTGTGATGCTCTGGCAGAGCCATCTCTACTCACAAAACTGTCCGGTCGCCAAGCATCTTATTCTGAGTTAATTACGCTTACCTCAGCGGTTCACCAATAGAATCTCAGGACACTAATAAATGTCCTTACAGAAAGAATAAAAGAGTTGGTTAAAGGACTATCTGACTCAATTTTGGAATGAACACAGGGAAATCACTCAAAATACTTTATAAATACATAGTTTGAATTGCTAAGTGCTTTATCCTAAAACTATTTATTTAGATACACTAAAATTTACACTTTCATCTTTCATGTAGTAAGTACAGTGTATATTAGAATTACTAAACATGCCAAAATATTTTAACTGGAATATTATTTGAAATTAAAGTTTAAGTATAGAGAAGACATTTTTATTGTCATGTATATCAATGACACTTTCAGATGCTTATTATTATGTTATTTAGCAGAAAATTTTAAATGAAATTCAAAAGATAGAATAGAATGAAAGATAGACACCTTGAGTTCAAAACTTTGCTTCGATCCTAGTTATTTCTACAAAATTTAAATACACAAGCTCTTTGGATCTCTGTGCATTCTCAGTTGAGAATTGAAGAGGTGAAGTGATAAGAAAATTAATGCCTCCAAAATTCTCTAATTCTAAAACTAACAATTTAAGAAAACAACACAGATTGTAAATACGGGGTAAAATGGGAGTTCATAACCCGCTTGAATCAAAATGTGAAATATGATATATCAAGAACTATGTAATGTTTTGAACAACCAACATTAAAAAAAAAAAAACACACATTTTGTATAATTGTGTTGACTCTAAGTCGAAATTGCCTTTAGATGATTACATATAGAAATAATTTAGTACATGTATATAATCTTGCTGTAAATACTAAATGTTATATGGTAGTTTTCTTTGTGACTATTAGGCATAAGGTTATTTTTGTTTTGTTTTGTTTTGTTTTTTCAGATTTTTAAAGCAGAAAACCTACCATCTTCATTCCCTTCCATCTTCTCTCCTTCTCTCTTTAAACACCAAGAATCTAACTTCAAATAAACTCTTAGGGACAACTCAATTTCAGTAAAAATATGGCTTGGAGACTACAACTTGACAGCCTTTGTTCTAACAGTATTCATAGAATCCTAGCTCTTCTACAAAGTATCAATTCACAAGCACAGATTTAAAACATTTTGTAAAACCTACAAGCAGCAGATGCTGTCTTTAAGGATTTGAGAGCCACCCCTAAAATTCCAGAAACAACATTATGATTCTTAACTAAGGGAGGAAAGAAAAAAAATATATAGAAATATGCAAGTTTGGTAATTATTTTTCTTTAAAAAAACATATAAAGAAGAATGTAGAATATAAAAAGCAAAGCTAGAAGTGAAGAGGGATTTTGATTTTCATTAATTATAGAAGAAAATATAGTTAGCAAAGCTATCCAAAGGGATCATACTAGATCTGCTTAAATGTGATATTGATAAATTATGCCACATTTGCAGTTCATAGTAAATTTAATATTACTATTTTTTACCTGATAAAAATAAATCCTCATTGTGCATCAAACTGACTCAACTTAATTAAATTGTTATTTGAAAGAATGTACAGGATAATTGGTTTTCAGAAATGGTTTCCAAGCTTAGGAACCTGGAAAAAAATGTGCATACAAATATAATATCCACATCTCCTCTTATCACTTGGATTCCTTAAGGGTCACAGAATAGATGCCAAATAAATTTGCCTGTTTTAAATAGCTTGGCCTTGCTGTGTTTATATAATGTTTTTACTTTGAATGAAAATTTTAATTATTTATTATTATAATTTTAATTTTAATTAGTTTAATGTTTTGGACCAACTGGAATGAACAGCATCCAAGTATCATAAGATCTACCCTGACTGGGAAAAATGCTCAAGTGGTTGTCAGTACAGACATACTTACTCCAAATGGACTCACTATCGACCATCGTGCAGAAAAATTGTATTTCTCAGATGGCAGCTTAGGAAAAATTGAAAGGTGTGAATATGATGGATCCCAGAGACATGTAAGTTAATAGAGAATTTCTATGTTATAGATTTATACAATGATATATTAGAAGAATATTTTCTTTTTACTTTGCTAAAATATGCATGTCAAGGAATTTCAAAATAGCTAATTGCTTGAACCAATCCAATTGAATAGCTAATCTATTCAGGACAAGAAACAATCTCTGTGGATATTTTTAAAATTTTCTCCATATGCATTTGCTGCCATAGAGGCATCTGATCTTTTGTAAACTTTATTCTGGAGAGACAATAATGGATTTTCTCCTAGTTATTAATTGAACTGGAATTGTTTGAGTGATTTGCATATGCTTCATTGCTATTTATAGCTTTCAAAAATGTGAAATGAAATTGGTTAGTTGCCCAAACACAAAAGAAAATTAGGAAAGAATGAAATGTTTATTTGTATTTGGGTCCTTGAAGCAATCTTAGAAGTTTTGGAGATAGGAGATTCCTCTCAAAGTCAGGCTGATTCTACTTGGCAGTCTGTTATCTCAGAATTTCAAATGAAATGTTAGCAGAAAAATCCTTATGTTGTCCCTGGAAAACACATTCTGAGGGTATTCAGGGCACTAAGAATGGATAAATTCAAGTCCCTCCTGTTGATGTCACCAGCTATTGGTGAGGAGTCTTGCTTTCTCACATTTTGAGTTTGAACATTAGAGAAGCACAYGGAGGCAAGCATATAAAGCAGGGTTTATTCAAAAAGGGGTAACAAAGGCTTCTCCCACCAGGGAGAAGGGGGCCTTCCTAGTATCCTCTTATCCCCAGAAGCAAGGTGTTCTGCCCTTTTTTATGTCCTAGTGCTTGCTTCCCCGATGTTGAAGAATAACACCAAAGAAGCAGGCAGAGGCAAGGTCAGAGTAGAAATTAGAAGTTTATTAAAGGACAGCAGAAAAGACTTCTCCCGGAGGAAGTAGGGGACCCAAGAGGTGGAATCCGTGGAAGTGCAGTTGTTTCCCCTTTTTATAGTTTTGGTGATGGAATGTAGGTTGGAAGGCCTGAGGGGTGGGACACAGGTGGGCCAAAGAAGTAATCTGGGCAGGAAGGACTTCATTATCACTTCTCTGAGGTGGACTTTGGCCTAGGGCCTCTTCAGGACTTCATTAACATTCCATGAATTGTCCTCTGTGTTTTCCCTGAGTCATTCCCAGCATGGCCTCCATTTTAGATTTCACTCGATATTAGACCCGATTTACCTAACTACACTGGCTACCTAACTTTAAATCTGGCTTCACTAGGCTTCCTTGGCTCTCCTGCTCTCTTCCCCTAATCTTTCTTCTTCCTGCATAGGTGACTAGGCCCAGGAATGCTTGGTGAGATGGACAAAAGTGAAAAACAGGTGGGCTGAAGGGGGAAGGGCAGGATGGTGCAGCCCAGGACACATGAATTAACAACTGTATAGATCCCTGTAGGGAGGGGCAATTCCTGGGACAGGTTACTTTAGCAACAGGTTGGAGCAGGGGCAGGTTCTTGATAAGGGGGGGAGGAAGGGCTTTGAAGGAATTAACATTTCAGTCCCTCAGGGGACAGTCTCCATCTTTCCAGGACTCACTCAAAATTGGCCTGACTCTATCTCACCTGATGCCATTTACCTATCTATACTACCTGTCTATTCTGGCTTCACTCTTATCCTATGAAGAATAACATTCTTGAAATCTGAAAATGAAAAGAGCTCAGAGGCTTAGACCTAGATGGCTATACCACCCCAGCATTCCTTACCACCTTACCTCATCCAGGCCCTGCTGGAAGCACAGCAGAAACCCCGCCCGGAATTGAGGAAGGTCTGAGATGGGACCAGATAATGAATGTTGTTGGTAGCTTAATGGACCCTATGGTCTCTATCATAATAACAGTCTAACATTGCTGAAGCTGAGAGAACATGTTAAAGAATAGGAATGCCAATATTCCACTAAAATTTTATTTAAAGAAGCAAAGGAGCAACAGAAGATCATGGTTTACTAATTTCTAACATATATGCTTATGCAGATTTAAATTCAATTTAAGATGTGTGTGTGGTGGGGGGTTTCTTTAAAAAGGAAGCAGTACATTGATTTACATTATGGTAGATGGAACTCATCACATTGTGGAGTGGCTCTTTTGAGTGGCACTGATAAAGGACAGTACAGTGTTTAAGCAATACTAGAATAATGGGCTCAGTCTTGATGAGATTTACTTCGTGCAAAAGGCAATGATCTTGAATCAAAGAAATGTACTTAATTCTTGGTCTGTCTTTTACAATTAATGATCATGTGACCTTAGGCAAATTATTTAACCTTTATAATTCTCAGTTTTCTGACATGAGAATTCTCCACCAAAATTTCAGAATTATTGTGAGAATACAGACAAAAATATTTGATTCATAATACATCATAGAAAATCTAAATGAACCTAGGGGTTAATGTTTTTGAAAAAAAAAAAACATGTAAATCTTTTTCTGAATATGATACTATTTTCTTTTATATCTTAAAATTAAAAATGTTTTCATATCTCCCTTCAGAAATCCTTAGCCTTCAATTTATTTTTTTGTATCAACCTATTCTGCACTCCCATTATTATGCATGGAAATTATAGCTACACTAGGTGATCCAGTGATAAGATGACTAATCCACTTAAATAATTTTGTTTCAAAATTTAAAAAATGTGTCCAGTTGTAATTCCCAAACTAGCAAATTTCTATTTTTGATGAAAATTCAAAGAAGTATTTTTAAGTATTAAAAATTATATTTTTTATGCTTTGCATTTAAAATATTTTAATGAGCACAAAATAATTGCCGATATTTATGAGGTACACTGTGCACTGTGGTATTTCATGAATATATGTAAACATATATAATGAACAAGTCAGTGTACTTAACATATCCAGCATCTCAAACATTTCTTTTTTTTTTTTTTTGTAGCAAGGATATTCAGAAACCCTCTGTTCTGGTTATTTTTAAGTGTATAATACAATATCCTTAGTGATCTTCACCCTGTGGTACAATAGGACACCAGTACTTATTCTTGCTATTTAATTGTAATTGTGTGTCCACTGACCAACTTCTCCCCATCCTCCTTTCCCCCCACCTTCTCCAACTCTATTAGAATAATAACCACATTTCTACTCTACATTTCTGTATGATTGGCTTTTTTAAATTCCACAAGTCAGTGAGATCATGCAGTATTTGTCTATGTTTGGTTTATTTCACTTTAGATAATATTTGACAAGTACATCTGTTTCCATGAATATACGATTTTCACCATTTTATGGACATACTCTTTTTTGATATATGTACCACATTTTCTTTATCCATTCATTTGCTCATAAACAGATTGGTTCCAAATATTGGCTATAGTGAAAAGCATACTGCAGTATGTATGGAGCTCTCTCTCTGACATAATTTCATTTCCTTTAGATAAATACCCAGTGGTAGGATTTGGGGATAAGTTGATTGCTCTATTTCAAATTTTGTGAGTGAATCTCTATACTCTTTTCCCTAATGGCTGTATGAATTTACATCCCCCCAAGGATATATAAAAGTTCCCATTTTTTCCTTCCATGCCAGATTTTTTATTTTGGATTTTTGATAATAGCAATTTTAATTGGGATGAAGTGATACCACATTATAGTTTTGATTTGCATTCCCCTGATGATTAATAATGTTGAACAGTCTCATATACCTGTTTGCCATTTGTATGTCTAATTTTGAGAAACATCTACTTGGGTATTTTGTCCATTTCTAAACCAGATTATCAATTTTATTATAGAATTAGTTTAATTTCTTACATATTCTGGGTAGTAACCCTGTCAAATATATAGTTTAAAGATATTTTCTCTAATTCTGTGTCTTAACCTCTCATTCTGTTGATTGTGTCCTACTTTGTGCAGTAACTCTGCCAACAACAGGCTGTTATGTTCACTACAGCTTTGTAGGATGTTTTCAAGTGAGGTAGTATGAGGCCTCCAGTTTTGTTCTTTACTCTCAATATGGCTTCTTGTATTCAGGGTCTTTTATGGTTTCACAGAAATTGTACAACTATTTTCTTTTTCTATGTCTTTGAAGATATTACAGGATAGGACTGCATTGGATCTGAAAATTGTTTTGGGTAGTATAGACATTGTGAATTCTTCCAATCATGTATCTTGACTATTTTTCCATGTACTTGTGATGCAGTTTTAATTTTTGTGGTTTTGTAGTTTTCACTGTAGAGTTCTTTCTCTCCTTGACTAAAGACATTCCTGAGATTTGATTTTTTTTTTTTTAATATAGATTGTAAACAGGATTGCTTTCTTGTTTCCATTTTCAGGTAGTATAGAACCTCAACTGATTTTATTATGTTGATTTTGTGCTTTGTAACTTGTCAAATTAGTTTGTTCATCCAAAAGTGGCCTTTTGTTTGTTTCATTTTCTGGACCCTCTTAGAGTTTTAGTTATTAAAGACCATACAAACATATCATCTGCAAAAAGGAGCAATTTGACTTCTTCCTTTCCATTATGGATATACTTTGCATTATTGTCTTCTTTCAGATATTAAAAAAATCAATTTCAAAATGTCCTTATGTGGTATGATATTAACTGTGGTAGGTCCTCTTGTGCTGCGGTGCATTTTCTCTAGACCAATTTGTTTATTTTTGCTTTTGTTGCCTATACTTTTTAGATCTTATTTAAAACATCTTTGCCCATAAAAGTATAATGAAGTATTTTATCTTTTCTTCTAGAAGTTTGTTCATCATTTTTTTGTCATGAAAAATAATAAAAACGTGTGTGTGTGTGTGTGTGTGTGTGTGTGTGTGTGTGTTTTAACCTAAAGCTCTTGTTAATGCAGAAATAGTCAGAGGTAAATAATTAGATCCTGAGAATTGTTATGTAATCAGTTCAACCTAGTTGGAATGGACTGACTGGGTGGTAACTGTAGGCAGGTGGGGTATGGGAAGAGGTGGATCCCTGAGGTTATTCCCTGGAGGGGTGTACCTTCCCTAAAATCACATCCCCTTCTATCTCTGTTTCCTGATCCCACCATA